CATCCACCTTTTGTCACCCACCGCCGATTCCACTTCTTCATCGGTATCTTGTTGAATTGTCTTTTAAAATTTCTTTTGGCTCTTGGTAATCCTCATCCAGAACTTATCTGATAGATCTGCCTATGTTAGGCGTCTTTAAGTCAGGCGGGAGAAGCATACTCCAGTTTTATAACAACATTTTATTTTATTCACACCCTTTCTTGCTTTATGGCAATACTGGTTTTAGTGAGCGTAGCGTAATAAATAATATATCTATAACGCTACATCTGCTATTTAGACTGCTTCAACCGAAGTCCACAACTTTAGGAGCTTTGTCCATTGCCGCCTCCTCTCTTCGCCTAGGGGCTCCAAGGTTAAAGTGTTCCGGTCCCACAGTCCTCTTCCTCCCGTACACGAACTCTTCGAATTACGGGTAGTTTTCTTTTTCCATGAGGACGGGGAAATCACCTTCTGTTATAACAAACAACTCCGTGTTCCTAAGTCCTTCAAGGCCAGTGCAGGCCATTACTACGTGTTCGGAAGTTTCGGGAACGTGGCAGGTGGAATAAAGGAGGTCGACGTCCTTACTAAAACTGTGCAGTTTGGCCCGAAAGCTCCCATGCCCCGTGAGGATTTTCGAAACTCAGTAACCCGCGAGCACCCATAACAAAAACTTTTATAATTAAGCCTCAGTCCTGGACTCAGGATGGACCTGGAGAGGCACCCGTCGCACAGTGGTGCCGATTACAAATCTAGCTGGAAAAAGTTCAACAACGACGATTGAAATGTGTTTGTAGTACCATTAACTAAGATGTTAATTTGTAAGACAATGCATTTTAATAAACAACTAACTAATATTAGCTTCTCAACTTGCTCTGTGTTTGGACGCAATATACTCGTTCAATCTTTAATAATATTAGGATCTTTTGGTTATTATTTTTACTGTTCCATGATGGAATACAACAAGAAAGTTAATCACTGAAATTGGTTTTCTTCTAATTATAGACTATTTTAGGCATTCAGAATCTTTCTAAAACAGGCTGCTACCTAAATTTTGATTCATTGTGTCTAGTGTTAACATTCATTCATAACAACATGTTAACTTTGCAAACATTGGAAACGTAATTACCCGTTCTCGCCCATTTTATTTCTGGAATAAGACTTATGTACCAAATAGAAAACTGTTATTTTCGGAAAACGAGTTAACTGAGGCATTGAGAGAAGAAAACGGCGTTTTTATCAACTAATATAAGACGACAAAATTTATTTGAATGAGCATACAAATTAAAAATTGGGTTTTAGCACAATTAATCAATGTTTGGAGAGAAAATTAGGCACTCAAAGACGTAGATTTTATGATCTTTAATAAGAGATAGATTCTTAACAATAAGGCACTGAAAGTATTATATAATAAACCTAAAATCAGATTAGTGGGTAATATTGAAGTATCTTTTTACTACAATCCATCTACCTTTTTGTTTTTAATCATGCCAGACATAGAACTTCAAATCCTTGTCACTTTGACTGTAAACGTTTATTCACATTCATCGAAATTATAATAAAATTAATAATTTTATTTTAATAATTTTATTTTATTTAATCTTTTAAAGAAAAAGATTATTACGATCTGAAAAAATAATCATGGATTCCTTTTAACAGACCACTACCCGAAAAAAATAGAGCGTTAAATAACTGTTTTGAATTTGCATATAATGCCGGATACGAATATATGTATTTAATACCAGACAATGGAAAATAAATCTATGAACTCCGTCTAAGTGATATTTTACTACAGATATATTATACTTGGATTTTAAAATTTTCATGAAATATAAAAAACGTAAGTTGTAGACAAAAACTGGTTTACAAGTCATTCAATGATTTTTTTAATGGTGACAGATTACTCTAGATGAGGAGGAAATATTATATTGTCAATAACAAGGCTTCTAGACTTTTCTCCTGCTAGATTCACAATCGGCAGAACTGTGAATTGGGGACGCTCCGATCATCAGAGAAATTATTAAAAAAATCTACTAAAACAATTAATTTTGGCCTAAAAGAACTGCATTAGTGAAATATTGAATGAGATAAAATTCAAATACTGCAGAATATAAAACTTAAGAAATAAATTTTAAATATTTAAGGGGAAGGAGTCTGTTTTTATATATAACACTTCAAAATTAATTTGAAGGTCAAATTCAAAGTCAATTGGAAGGAATGTATCATATAAAACAAATCTATACAATGAAATCAAAATCATTAACTTAAAAATGTTCGAGAATTTGGTATTTTTAAATAAACTGTAATGTAAGTTCTCTTTGAATGGCTAGGTAAAACATCTTTTTGATATAAACAAAACTAAACTATCTCAAGCTTTTTAATCATGTTGATAAAAAATTTCATTTTATAAACAACTTAAATAATATATTTTAGATTTGTTACTATCCATTGGATAATCTGAAAGGATATGTAAAATTATTGTCAAGGTTAAGGTTATCAAGCATACCTTATTTTTGAGAATGCATAATTGATTAGGGCTACATGGGGTCATTTCCTGTCAAACCTCACTCAAAAAAATATTTTAAATTGTTACTAAAATATTTCCCATTGTAGTTAGCCATCATGCATTGAATTGGGCACAATAAGAAATAAAAAATACGTTGTCTTCTTTCTCTAAAGAAAAAAAAAGTAACCAGCAAAAGACATTGTACACCAGCAGATTAAATATAAAACGATCTATGAAAAGAGTTCTTCCTAACATATTTTTTTAATTGTAACACAAGCTTCAATATTATTCTTGTAATTTCCTCCAAAACATTTACTCAATAATACATACATTTTTAGTATAAATATTAAAATAAATATAACGATTTTAATGAAGCAAAAGGTTTGTCTATAATCTTATTATCAACTATCAAGTCAACTTTTTTAAATTAATATTTAGAATGAAGTCCTTTGGTTTTGGGCATTGATTGAGTCAAACTTCAAATTTAATCAGGAGCATATTTGCTCCCATTTTCTAATTTTTTATTTTTAAGAAATACGTCCTATACAAGAATCCTACCACCTCCATCTTTTACAGAAGCAGATAAATTTGGGAATTCAAATTCATTTCTACATCATTCCAGTGATCTGTAGGTTTTTAAATTAAATTTTTGATGAAAGTAGACATATTTTATTTTTCTTTAAACTTAAATCTTTTTTCAGCTATTTATTCAGCTTGAAGAACATATTTCTTAAATATTTCTCAAATTCTATAAAGTACAGTTTGTTTTCTTAATAGTTTTTATTCATTAGAGTGTTAATTAGGAGAGTACAGCTAGTACTGCCAAAAATTTCTGAAGAATAAGCATTGAAATTTTACCACAATAATGATCTTAACCATTATTGATAATAACCGTAATAATGACCTTAACCATAATAATGAACTTAACAATATATATATTTAAAAATTTTAGTTTATATTAATCAATCATTTCAACTTGAGATAGGCTCTCACTTTTAATAGAAAATCTTAAAAACTATAGGTATGAAGGATAACTATTAAAGAACAACTTATATTATAAAAATTATATTTCAGATATAAGTTTCATTAAACTATCTTTAGAAAAAAGTTTTTAATTTAACAAAGAAAAAACAAAAATTAAATAATCTGGTTGAATGAATATATACAATGAATGACTAAAAACATGAGAAAAAAAAAATAAATCAATCAATTTCTGAATGAGAAAATCTAGGTTTTTATCCAACATGGTCAAACATTTGTAAGCAGGTACATTAATCACAAAAGAAGCTTTAAAACTTAAAGAGAGGAAGTGAGAAATAGTGAATCTATAAAGTATTAAACTACTAAAAAAAAAAAAATCAATGATAATTTATTATACAAACACATATAATTTTATGTTCTTCCATATAAAATTTCATCATTTCTACACAACTTAGGATCTAAAACAACCTGAGTCTCTGAGGTTAAAAAAACAACTAAAAATATATACAATGACTACAAATTATTAAACAGATCTGCAGTCTTAATACTTTCAGTTCAAATAAAAGTGATTTTTGTAACAACACACTCAGGAAGTGGCTTCTCTAATCACTTGTAACACAATAATTTTAGTAATCTCCAATAACTTTTTCTATACCTTAAAGAGATAAACTTAATGATTAATCATATAATTAAAAGGAAGTGAACTGAACTACAATATTTGGTTTTATAAGGTTCTTCAAAAAGTATAGTTAAACAACCTTACACCACTGATGTTACAAGTTATTTCATTTGGCAAATAATTTTTGGTCGGTTGATGAAATCCCCCAAAAGTAAAGGGCACTATGGCCATTTTATTTCTTTAGTGATATTGAGTTTCAGAGTTAGTAGTGTAATTGTTTTCATGTGAGCAATTGAAGCAGTGAAAAATATTTTTAAAAAATAAAGGAATAAGCATTTTTAAGAAAAGATACAAACAGTAAACAGCACTTAGAAAAGAAGTATCCTTCTAATTAAAAATATTTTTCTGTTTAAAGGCACTTGTTATCTTAGGAAAAATAGGTGAATTTTTTCTAAACTGAAACACTTGCAAGTAGCATAAACAAAATTTGTTCATTTATAAAATCCAAGCTATGTTACACAGTGCCCTTTATATCCACGATTTACAGAAGCCAAATACTATTTAACTTTATATTGGCTAATCTCAACACATTAAACAAAACTTATTTTAATAAAAAAGAAGGAAATAATTACACAGAAAATCATCAAATAATATCATCTAAATCATTTACAAATCATCAGATTAGAATTAAAAGGAATAATGAGTTTTTTTTTCCTAACTTTTTTTTTCCTGTGTTTGAACCAAATCTATGCTCCAAAATTGAAAAATTCATCAATAATTAATTAATAATTTGACAATTTTATCAATTGTGAAGTGTAAAGTTGATTCAGGCACAGGACCATAGACATACCTCATCTTTGAAAAGATGTCACTTGTTAACAGGACATTGTTTCAGTAATGTTTACAGCTAAATCTTTACACGAGGTTGTAGTAGGAGCTAGGCTGCCTTCTCCTTCTTTGACGAGGCGTCGTCGGTGATGGCGCAGTAAGGTCTATGACAGAACCAGGAACTACAGGAACAGGAACAGGGCCAAAATGGTCTGACAACTCTATTACCAACGGTTGTCTATAAAACAAGGGAACTATGTTAAGAATAATCAATATTACAAACATATACGACAGCATTACTTTATTAGATAAACATTAATCACAGGATACTCATAGCTGAAGAAATAGTGTTGAAATTCCCTCTTGTACGCCTGTTGTTCCTATTGTTCCTGTTGTAAGGCGCTCTACTCGACGAAGATGAGCCACCTATAAATACAAAAGATTTACTAAGATAAATATTTAATCGCTATAAGTTTAAAAAATATAGTAGAATCTAAATTGTCCAGGGAAATGACCAAGAGGAACAAGCATGGAAAATCAAAAAATCATTTTTGATCAATTTTTTGCATAATTATGAATGGTTGATAAGGAAGAAAGAAAAATCGAAAATTTATTAGAAAAAAATGTGTACATAATGCATGTGTATTTATTAAAATACTAGCAGGCCCGTTCGAAAAATTCGTGCAGCATATTGTTTTCGAATGCCTAATTATTAAGAAAAAAAAAAATACTGCAACGTATCAAAAGATAAAAAAATCAATTGTTAATTTATCCATAAATATAAACTACAAAGGAATTATTTTAATATCTTCATTAATGTTTGGAACCAACATGATTACAAATTTCAATAAGCTGTATCTTTGCTAAAAATTGTTCGATTTCGATGATTTTTTTTCTTTTTGTAGGGAATTTAATAATCTTTTATATAATCATGGGCATAACCAAGGGAAAAGTGTTTTTTTAGTTATTCGCAAATAAAGTGTGTTTTCTTTCATAACTTGTTTGCCTGAATTTTCGGGTAGGTTTGACTATTTTGCCCCCCTGAAGGAGAAGGAAGCCTTCAGAATTGGTGGCTCAATCTTGAGATTTGGTGAAGAATTAATGATGATATGGCTTGCCGATCAAAAACACCATCGATAAATAATATAAACTCCTCCTCTCTCTATCATAGAGGTCTCAAGTCGACAAATAAGACATGTATTCAATGACAGTACTACAATTAACGTAAGGTTGTGTGGATGCAAACCCTATGCCTTACGTTATCTCGAAAATAGTACGTTTTGGGGCTTAAAAACGCAGGATCCGATAGTTCCGGAGGAACTATCTGGGTCTTGCTGTACGCATCAAAATCTTCAAGGTCCAATTAATCCTGTATCGATCTACAGACCTACCACCGATCCTGTATTAAAGCCTAACAAAATGTTTTATCGACTTTATTTATTTTAGAAAGAAAAACAAAAGCGGAGAATACGATTCGCTAACCCCCCTGAAATTCTGAATCCAAGGGTACCCCATTCATGGTATTTGAGCCTGACAGGAGCTTGTATTTGGTACAAAACCGATTTCGAGCCTTACTGTAATAATATATGTGTGGATATTTGTATTTATAACATGAACAAAAAAAATAGTAAAATATATAAACATATCAATAACCAAACAAATAAATTTCAAAATGCCATTTCTATTTTTTAACCTATCACAGACAGTTTATTCGTCAACTCAGTGATAATTTTTTTAAAAACATTTTCATCTTTATCAAGAACAGAATTTTAATTTTTATACTATAAAGCATAATGCTTTTGCTTAAGGATATCGATTAAGGATCTTTATCTCAGGCTAATCCTTTCTCAATTATAATTTGAATCCTGTTAAAGACCTTTGTCCTATCCATAGTTTTTTATTTGATATTTTCTTTAACAATAAATTTTGCAATATAAATTTTGTTGTAAGACAAAACAAATTCAATGAAATTTTGATTGTTTATACCTTTTAAATGTACAATTAATTTTAGCATATTCATTTAGTTTTACTAATAAATGTTTTTACTAACTCTATTTGTCCAACAAGGTTTGAGAATGAGGTAGTTGAAAATGTAAATAGTTAAGAGAAGTAAAATAGCAAATATGTAAATAAACAATTATTAAAAAAAAATCACCTCTTGGTGACTTTGCAGTTCTTTCTTCTTTAACTTCCAACCTTCTGGTTTTTAGCTCCCCTCCGATAGTATCAGCTAATTTGTCGATAAAAGAATCAATCACCAGAGGGCGAGTTTCTGTTTTTATCTTGGTTCTACACACTGGACATTCCTTTTTCTTCTTCTTCCATTCAATCAGACAAAATCTACAAAATGTATGCCGGCAGTTTAGAGCAGTAGCCTGAAAAAATAAAACAAAAAATCCAAGTAGATTTAAATATTTTTTGTAATATCCAAACTTCATAAAAAAAAAAATTAATTAATAAACTTTATAAATAAGAGGCAAAATATTCCCATTTTTTAGTAAAACTAGGTATACAAATTTTCTATTGAACAATCAGCTAACATGTAAGACAGTGGCTTTAGACAATCGGCCTCTAGGAAAATGTGTCCTAATTCCAAAAAGAAAAACATATATTATAACAATGGAACAGTTGTAATAATAATAACATATTGGAAATAGGGTAATTGAAAAGATATCAATAATATATTGTGATTGCTTCTTCAGTTTATTTCACAAAAATACTTCTCTTAGAACCCTACCTGCTACATGGCGCACAACTAAGAAAAGAAGCCCAAACGATAGTCAATATGGCACCTAAAAAGACATAGTTTCAGAAATTGTACCATAAACCGAAAACAACCTCAAAGAGATACTTTTATCTACTGCGACAACCACTTATGAAGCTATTAAAAGCATTAATAAAGCGAGTCGCCCGAAAGGAAGTCTCCTAGATTGCCCGTTTCATATCGGGTATTGAACTATCCAAAAGAGACAAGAATATTGCAGAAACCAGTGCACTTGCTGGTCTACCACATCTTTTATCCGGTCTAACTGCTGACTGGTACCAAGGTAACTCAAATTACATAACATTTTGGCCCTTACGCAATTACGTTACTCAAAGAAACATTTAAAGTACTCCAACCTCCTTTTTTAAAACATTTTGTCAGATTTCTTCAAAACTGGTTTTGACAGATATGGTTTTGAAGAGTAATAATATAGCTTTCCAACAGTTTTAGTAACCTTGACTTAGGAGAAAATACTAAGGAGTTATTACAGGGTGGCGACCGACCGAAAACCAGGAAAAGTCAGGGAAAAATTTTTAAAGTCAGGGAAAAATTTTTAAAGTCAGGGAATTTTTTTAATTCGAAAATATTCTTTTTAAATTGGAATCAATACACAGTGGATTAATATAACGGCCTAAAGAGACCTGGTAAATTTCGTTGTTTAATGTATAATTGTTATAGAGGACCGGACCATCTTCATATTTATATCGTTATATAACCTTTATCTATCCACTTGTCAATGTCAATAATGGCCCTGGCCGTTATATATTGGAATCAAACAAGACTAACGAATAAAATGTAAGCAAAATGGAGCTAAAACAGTGCTTTTTAAAAAAGAAAATATAACCACAGACAGAGCCAAATAAAACATCAGAATATATTAACCAATTCCAAAAACACCTATCGTTACTTCCCTACAGTAGTAGTGTCGAAATGCAAATTGATATTTTTTACGCTCTATTAAGATCTCGAGTAATTCAACAATTTCCAAGGGAGTCAATGAACAGTTTGCAAAGCCTTATTAATCGCTCAAACATTCTTGAATTACATGAATCAAAGAACAAAATCATAACCAAAAATAATCGCGATCCCAAATGCACCTTCAGCTACAAGTTTGGACATGGTTACAAAGAATGCCGAAAGCGGTTGACAAAATTTATGCTGCATACCCTTGAAATTGATAACTCCGTGAACAAAGAGGTATACGAGTTCACCAGCGCAGATGATGCTAATTACAACAATGCTATCACAACGAATGAAGGATTTGATATTAATGCTGCCAGCTCTTCTTATAGATTACGTTCAGTATTATACATTAATATCGGCAATGTAACAGAAACTGCCCTGATCCACACTGGCGCCACAAGAAGCATCATGAATGTTTCAATGTTTTCTCAGCTACCAAGCAGTCTAAAGAAAAAATCTGAGACTCTATCCTTCACACTTGCTGACGGTTCAACAAAAATTCACGAGGCATTAACATTTGAAGTCGGACTAAACAATGAAGATCGTAAAGTAAAACAAAATTTTATATACCCTAATAAAATCATAACACTCGAACCATATGCATAGATTTTATTTGCTCTGCTGAAACCCCTAAACTTTATAAAAAAAAATAAATAAAAGGCAAAATATTCCCATTTTTTAATACAACTAAATATACAAATTTTCTATTGAATAATTGGCTAATATGTAAGACAGGGCTTTAGAAAATTCACCTACAGGAAAATGCGTCATGAAAATATATTTCTTTAGCTGTGGAGAAATTATTTTATAATTGGATTGTTTTTCATTCAATATGTTTCAAATTCAGTAGCTTTATTAGTAGGCTGAAATAAATTGTTTCTCTAACAATCTGTATTTTTTTCTAATTCCTAACCAGTGTCGGACACGTCTCCAGTGAATTAACCCCTCCGGATCTGTGCAGTCGTTCTAAAGTTATCAAAATTTTTATTGTTTTTAATAAATTTTCAAAGGATCCAGCCTAGGCAAAATTTTTAATTTTTTGATTGCTATAAAAATTAGTATTTAAGGCTTTTTTGAGGGGCGAAAAACAAATATCAACTTTGTTTCTCCCCAAAAAAATATTTACTTCCACATTGCTATGTCAGTTAGTCCAAATTGTATATATCTGCCAAATATAATATTTATTTAAAACCAATCTGGTATCTAGTTTTTTTTTTTTTTTTTTTGGAAGAGTAATCTAGGAGGTGATAACTTTTTGTCATGAGATAAATGCAGAAATGTTCAAAAAGATGCATATATTCAAAATCAAAAGAATTATACATCAATCTGCATAATTAAAACTTCTAAGTACAAAGATACAGAAGCAGAATTTTACCTCATAAATGATATCATTACAGATACTGCATAACATTTCACGATCCAAAGTCTCAATAATTTGGCTTTGATACTTTTCTGCCTCTAAAGCCAGGTCCGTAATCTTCTCATCGCGCACCTTTAACTGCTCTCTCATATTTTCCATTTCTTGTTCATTCCATTTAATTTCTACAATTTCCACAAGTTTTTGTAATGCTGCTACCGTAGTTACAGTTTCTTCTGAATCTGTAAAAACATATATATTTTTTCTTTTTATAAACATAAAACACATACTTGGTTAATTAATGAATATATCATTAATTATGATTCCTGGTAATACAATTAAGATATATGAGAATATAATAAACATGAATTAATCAGTTAAATGTTATTTAGAAGAGAACTTCTCTTACTCATATTGAGAACCACTATATGAAACCTCCAAGACATAAAATTAAAGTTCTTCCGTACTCTACTAGACTTATCAATGACTTATTATCTCTCTTTAAGACTTTAAAATAATTTTCTAAAAAGAAAATGTTTGAAACTAGAGTTCTATATTTCAATATTGCACTCACCTACTCTGGAATCAACTAACTTATTGTCTGTATAGATAACTTTATCAACTAGAAATATCACTAAAATGACATATCTCAAAAATGTTGAAATTGGAGTTAGTCGTTCTGTCAACTGAAAGGCTCAGAGACTGAAATTGTGTGGTTTATAAAAGCAGATGGAGTAATGAGATTATTATTGCCTACCGTCAATATAATAAATAGACTTTTTGTAATTTTATTGGTCTTAATGATTTGTTATCTGTAAGCTTTAAGCTTTAGACCCCTTTAAAATGCACTTCAAAAATTTTATAATAGCCCAACATGGCCAAAAAATAATTTTCATTCAATTTATAATTTTTGAAGAAATTATAAAACATGTTTATGGGAAGAACTCTCAATTAACTATAGAAGCTGAGGAGTATATTTTAAAATTGATATTTTAAGTGATACAACGAGGCATGGTAACAAGTAACTGTAACACACCATATCCTGGCAGACATTAATGGGCAATAACATAAAAAACAAAATTAAAAATAAAATCATGATATAGATTACCAGTCTACGCCATTAAATAGCCCTATTGGTGAATTCATAAAAATAATGGTCTTACATCATGCAATTAAAATTATCGTAACTGACCCAAATCAGTATATAACTTATATTTTTTGAATAAAAAACAAAAACAATTAATCATTCAAAAAATACAAATATGGTATAGACAACCCATGCTAGGCATGAATTATCAGCAATAGTACGCACAAAAGTATTTTACGAAAATATTTATTTGAAACAGAAATATTTGTTAGCAATCAAACAGAAAAAAAAAAGTTGAAAGAAAAATAAAAAAAAACCTAAATATTTTCTTACCAATTTCTTCCTTTGATGCATTAGGCTCATCATCTTGTTTACAATTATTGTCTGAACTTAGTTCCTAAAAACAAGCATGAAAATCAAAATTACAAGAATAAAAATAACCTTAAGCAATATTAATATGACAGTTCCCCCCGCTATAAACCATTTATTTTATAGGAAAAATAATACAATCTGCCACAAACAAGAGGATTTGTTAGATATTATGGCTCTATATGAACATTCATACCGTATACATAAAAGCTAAAATGCAAATCAAAAAAATAAAACATAAAAATAAATAATAATCAAATAAATATATAATAATAAATAATATTGAAAAAATAAAAGAAAAGAGAATAAGTAAATAAAAAGAAAAAAAAAACAATAATATAAAGAGATAATAATACAAATTAAAAAATGTATAAAATAAATACATTACAATACAAAAAAAATAATAATAAAATGACTAACAAAAATGTATACATTTTCTACATTAATACTTTTCCTGAGTATTTATCAGGGTTGCAAAAAACTTTTAAAAAAACTGTTATTTAATTCTTTTTCTGTCAGCTAAAAAAGTGATTAAAATTTAACTTAGTATTTCAACCTTGATTTCTTTCAGAACTTAATGACTGTGGTAAAAGAAAATAAAAGAATAAAGAATACTCAAAAAAATTAAAGTAGTCATTTTGCCTTTTCTAGTCAAAGAAATAATATTTACTTTGATCATTCAAGGGATTTGGTGAGGGCCAAATTATTGAAAACATCATCTCTACTAGTACATAAGAATTGTCTCGAATTTTACGAAACCAAAGATGTAAAAACTATAAAAATTCATTCATATTTTTCTACAATAATAACTTTATATGTATATGGCAATGAAATGAAAATTAATATTCTTTATTTTGGGGTAGATTATTCTCAAAGATATTATGAGAAGTTGGTCGGGAGGTGTGATCAAATAAATTGTTAAAACAGTATTTTAATTGTTATGCCGATGTTTCGACCCACTTTGTAGGTCTTCATCAGGGCTATGAAAGATACAAAATATAAAAGGTACAAGGTGAAAATAAAATGAATGAATTAATAATAATAATAATAATAAGGCTTAGCGAACCCGAAGGTTCGATGCCGACACCACCAATCGCTGTTACACACCTCCCTCCACCGTTCGCCATCCAAACCCAGTCCCTTCAGATCGGCTTTAATGCAATCTTCCCACCTTCGCTTCGGTCTACCCCTCGGACGCTTACCATTCACAGCACATATTAACCTTTTAGGAATTCTCTCGTTACTAAGCCCAACAACTTTACAAGCCCATTTGATTCGCCGCGATGAAATTATCTCAATTATATTACCCGGATACAGCTCACGCAATTCGGCATTGTGTAACCGTCTGAACTCTCCGGTTAACTCATCCTTCTTCAAAATGAATGAATTATTAGTAGATATTAAGTAAGAAATAGTTGTCTATTAAAGAAATAATGAGATGACATCAGAGATATAGTGGTGAATAAAAATAGAAACAAAATTTATTTAAATATAAATAAATATATATATATATTTATATTAAAATATATATATTTATATTAAAATATATGTATTTTATTTTTAAAAAGTTAATTCACACTTATTTTCTATTTTTGTTTCTATCTTCTATATATGCCAATGTTTAGAACCTGAATACTGATAATTGTTATAAGGCACTGTTAATCCCTATCTTCATATGAAATTACTCTCGTATAATAAGAAATATAAATATATTTGGTGTTGCCTCTTTTTTGCCTGTTTCTTATTTAAAAAAAAAAAAAAATATATATATATATATATATATATTATAATATATATATATAATAAATATATATGAAATATAAATAACAACAACACTTTAAATAACAAGATAACTGCAGATAGCAATCCATAGAGCATGCGTCGCTCACAAGTACCCAATTTAGTATTTATTTGACCACACCCTCCCTCCCCTGACCAACTCCTTCTCATATTACATCAGGATCAACCATTTCTACACCATTTCAAAGGTATTATGTTTCATCACTCTTAATATTGATCAACTATAAGATCAATAAAAATTGTTAACTATTATTAGTAAGTAATATTAAGTTAAGTTCGAAAATATATTGATACGCACCTTACACTTGCACTCTTCATTAAGCCGAATTTGTTCTAGTTCACTTTCTTTGAGTAATTCATTTAGTTCTTGAATTTCATTCATCATTTTTTCCTTAGCTATTTCTTCCTCCTTTAATTTATTGTTTAAAGATTCTTTTTCTTTCTGAAGAGAGGAAACTGTGTCATTGGATTCGGTCATAAGTATATTCAGTTTGTGAGAAACTGTTTCATTAACCCTCCTCTGATTATCACTAAAATGAAAAAGATTAAGAATTAAAATTTATTTAACAATTTTTACACTCAATATAAGTGACAGGAAAATAAAAATAATAATTGACATAGTAACGCGATTTCATATAATTAAACCCTCAATTTTTATTTTTATTTTTTTTTTTTTATGTTTTACTAATTATGGAATGGCAAAGACCACTATCAAATTTCCACTTTATTCCTATGTTTATGTAAGATTTCTAAAGCTTTTCTTGTCTTTTGTCAGCTCTAACATAAATGTATCCTTACTAAAACTAATATATAAAGTATGTAATAATATTTCAGTGGGAAAATTGAAAATTTCCAAGCAATGGCATAGATCAATTTGTAAGAAGTACGAATTAATTCATGATTTATCAAGAATTACGCATTGTTACTAATACAAAATCCTAAAATTACGATACAATAACATAGAGCCAACGAAATTTGTAAATGTTAGAATATAAACAAATCTAGAATCAAGATTTAAGAAAATATTGAAACAATCTTGAAATTAATTATTTTTACTCACATTTCCTCAAGAGCCAAGTCGTATTTTTCTTTTAACAAAGCTAATTCTCTGTTTAATTCTGCAATTACATTATTCTGAGATAGAATTTGATCACTGTTCGTAACATCAGCAGGATTGGGTGTTAAAATATCAACTGTGCAATCGGTTTGACTGTAAAGAATAAGATAAAAGTGAAATATAAGTATAAAATAAAAAACATTAAAACTGACATATTCTTTTAATACAGATCGTAATTTTCACTTAATATATAATAATAATATATAAATTTGAAAACAATAATTTCACGATACAATTTCTTACCAAAAACATTATTCTAGAAAAACAAATGATTATATTCAAAATATTTTCCATATAAATATAAATTAAATACATGAAAGATAATAAAATCTTACGTTTCCAGCTTCCTCTTTTTTGCTGGATTTGGTACATTCGAAAGGGAGTAATAAAAAATGTATTCTCCATCTTTATAATGAAGAAAGCTAATCTTATCTCCACTTTTTAAAATGTGGCTAGTGCCTTGGAGAGGGTTATTATTCAACAGTGTAGAATGATGGCGACTCTGAAAATTGACAGAAAAAATTCATAATAGATAACCGTATTTACCTAATGATATTAACATTAAAAATTATTAGCTTATAACACACAAAGAAAATATTTTTAAAATGAATATTCATGAAAGTCTAACTAACATTGACATGACCTCTTTTAATTCCAAAGGAACTTTAAGCATTGTAATATTAGAAATAAAATTGAGACGATAGTTAACTGTTTAATTTTAAATTAGAAGAAAGAAGAAAGGAATTAGGCTTAAGATTAAATGGAGGAAAAAGAGGAAGAGTTTCCTTTATTTATTATTCTTTCTCATAGAACCGTTTCCTTTAAAAAGTCCTTTGTCGTGCATGCTACCTTTTTCTGGAATTCATTACCTGCCTTCATACGCAAATTCTCTTCCTTAACCACATTTAAACAACAATTATTCTTCCACCTCCTAAGAGCTGACACCTTCATTTGACTGTTATATTACTGTTACTTATATATTAACAATATATAAGCAATACAAATAACAAAATATAAACAATATATACTTAATTTATTTTAATTTTAAGGTTGGAATATAATGTTATGTTAACTAATTATTTTTTATTTTCTTATATTACCAGACAATTGTTTTGTTTTTTTTATTCACTGCAGTTATTCTTAGGGACTAAATGTTCCAGAATAAAATTTATTTTCTTCTTAAAAAAAAAAAGTCAAGATTTTTGCATCTGTAGAGCCCAAGTTCTTTAACAAGGACAAAGGTCTTCAACCCCCAACGGTCTGTATAGCCATTACCAAGGATTCGAAGCAACTTTTCCAATAGCTACACATCCTCAACCTATCAGTTTTAATAAATTAAATAATTCCATAAAAATGCTTTATGGTCAAGATATATTTTATTTTCCGTTACGTAAACAGTTATAAACATAATGCAAAATGCCTGGCATTGAGATGGTGCTAGGGTTGAGCAAAACAAAAAATGTTGTTCAAGAAATCTATGCAGCACACAATAAGTTTAAGAAACTCTGCTCTAGAGCATAGCAAGTAGAAATCAAATGCTATGAATTCTCAAAAAATGTATAAATAATGCTTGAAAAAATATATAATTTTAATTTAAGTATGATATGCAAAACGTTGTATAACTCCTCCTGTCTGCACTCCGTCAAGAGATAAATCAGTATATCGATTAATTGATATATCAATATTAAAATGGTACTTAAAAAAAAAAAAGTTGTTATTTACTATATTGCTAACAAGAAAAGGAAGAATTTGAAAAAAATCATAGCTACGAATTGTCTCTAAAGCCAAGATATGGGCTAAGGAAATACAAGACAAAAAATCTGCATTCCGAGCTAAATCAGTGATTAGGTTGGCTATAAAACTTCCTGTTTTTCATATCCAATATCTACTATTTCTCAAAAATGTTATAGTTCATTTAATTTTTGTTTTAAAAAAATATTATTAAAAAAAATCATTTTTAGGTTAATGTAAATATCAATTAATGTAATTGAGAATTGAGAGGGTTAGAATGAAAATGATATAAGTCAATTTTACTTATTGTACAGAAAGATTAAATTTATTTATTTATGAAATTTACAACTGTACAAATTAATATATATTCAGCAAATGTTATACAAAGAAATATATGACATGACAAGGCTTATAGAGAATCTACCAATCGGTAGCACTCTAATAAAGTATCTAAATTAGGAGATCACGAGACCATTTTCTTTTCAGATGCCTAGGAGGGTTATCAGGGATCGAGGAGGAAGCAAGGTTAGAAATGAGAGGATTAGGATAGTTCTGAAGTTTATTATGGAAGGATAGATATCTGGATTGGACCAATTCGGAAACATATGGAACATTCATGTCATTATGGATTATTTTATTTGTTACAAAGTAAGGAGCATGAAGGATTTTGTATTGTGAAGATTGGATACGATAGGAATTCAATGGTTTAGTGGAGCCCTAAAGCTTAAATCCGTAAGTCCAAATAGCTCTTATTATGGCCATGTATATGAGTCTTTCGTAATTAATTGAAAGGTTAGAGCGTTTGTCTACTAAGTGCTGAAGTAGTCGGAAACGTCGAGCAGTTTCTTGTCGTTTCAGTATGGTATGAGGATTCCAAGTTTTGTTTGTCCAGGTGGAGTCCTAGGTGTCCAGAAAGTGAGTGGTTTGTATAACTACTTTAATCATATTTGTATCTTTATACATTTTTATATGTATCTTGTTCATTATAATATATATATATATATATATTGTAAGGTTATGTTTTCGCAAAGCTCCACGTTGGGCGCCATGTTGTTAGGTTACGTTTCCTTTGAGAAGTATACAAAACAGTTTCTGAATCAAATAATATTTATTTTACACAATAATTATTTCTCAGATTGGGTTGAGGCAACAAACACACATTCCTCAATTATAAATATAAAATCATACATTAATAGTACATAACAATTTTATGAATTTCCATTCATTTGTCGGAGATCTTGGCACATTTTCGAACTATCACTACTTATATTTCACTCAGTCTATTCCGCAATGAATGTTCTTCTATATTGTTGTCCTCGACTTCTACAATCTTCTATTCTTCTTTTGTTGGCATTCACACTTGTTAGTAACATTTTCTTCTCTCGATCCTTTTTACTAGCTGGCTGGCTACCTTCTGCCTAACATATGCACTTGCTTCCCCTTCCCTCTGTCATTGTCCATTTTTGACAGTAGCTTGTGATGCCACTGATTTTGTGACAATACTTAAAATCACTATGTAATATTTACATTACAATAAATATAATGAAGAACATCCTATGAACTTAAGAAGTACACAAATGATATAATAACATTAAAGTACATTTATAAAATATTTTCTATCCGAACAAAAAGCAAACTTAATTTAATGTTCTATCAATCTAACCCACTGAATTTATTTTAACAATTATTTATGATCTAAGATAAATTTACTCAGAAATATTTTGAATCTATAATATGATTATTTTTTCAGAATGCCATTTCCTCAAAGATCATTTACAGGCTTTAACTAAATTAACAATCTAATGAATGATACAGTTTCAATTAAAGATATAAAATGTATTTTAAAAAATACTTACTAAATCAGTCAGAAACCATTCATTGTTCTCATTTAATATTATAGCACATTGTGTCCTGGATATAACAGGGGAAGGTATATCAATAGAAGATGCCGTATTTCTTCCAATAGTGATCTAAAAAAATGAAAATTTAAATAACATATGAAATATAAAATAAGATAATATGTAAATATACAATGTAGATGTGAAAAAGTCTTCAAACAGCGTTTTTATCTTCTTTATTGTTAACTTGCTTATAATGCCAATGAAATATAAATTTAAATCAGCATTATTTTAAATTAACAACAAATTAAAAGACCAATCCATTGTTTTATCCTCTGAATAATGCTACATTATTGTTTAAATTTTACAGCTTTGTTATTAATTTCAGTCATTACTCTTTATTGTTTACATAAAGAGCCAATGTATACAATCTACAAAGCTGAGCTTGTCTGCCATAATTGTTCTAATATTTAATTCTTTATTGTTGTGTTTTTCGGCAATTTGATTAAACATTCCATATTTTACAAAATAGTTTTGTTTTCTATTCAATGTTACTTCATTTCAGAAAATGGCAAAATGTCATGTTTTTGACTTCCTGGAATTCATTGTGTCACCAAATGGAAACAGTGCATTAAAATTAAAAACATACTCTCAAAGAAATGAAAGAATGTTAACTTGTTGATTGAGCGTGTATCCTAAACTTAATAGTTTAGTTAAGTGGTATGGTCAATTACCATGGACAAAGAACGTACATTTTCACCAAATTTGTCAAAAACTAAGACAATTACTATAAATGGCAGTGCAGCTTGGAAATGACTTCTCTAAGAAAAAAAACTCAGAATAAAAGTTGTAGAGCATCAAATTCAGAATCCATTGAGTACCAACAGTTTTAATGTAGGTCAATTAAATCTATTTTCATATAGACTTCTCTCAAGTAATTTTAATGATCACCTTTTGATGTATTCGATGGACTGCTCATTTGATGTATCAGAGACATTTTAAAGTTTTTCATGTTTAAATCTGATCTAATTTTAATCACTGTCAACCGTGGTAGTTGGACACTTTTATTTTGAATTTTTTGTTTTTTTAACCTTAGTAACATTTATCTTGCAATATTTTCCATTTCCATGAAGTAACAAGAAGTGTAAGGCAATTAAAAGCCAAAGTTTGTAAGACATTTGAATGAATCATTAAATTTAATGTTTATTCTGTCTATGACTTCTTCTTCAAGATATTTTCAACTCATTTTAGGAGTTTTAATAAAATGCAGTTGTGAAACTGCAGCGATCCGTTACTTGAATTCTCAAACATACCAGATGATAATGGAACACGATAGAGAATAGAATGAAAAATACTTTTATAGATAAATAATTTTAATCTTAGACTGAAATGAATTATCAGTTGGCTAAATTTAAAAGATTTTGGCCTAACCTTAGATAATACTAAAACCCTAAAATTGGACAATATACCTGCTAAATAACTTTGATGGTGGAAACAAAAGCATTTGATTAATAACATAAAAAATTTAGAAGAAAACTAAATTAATGAAGATGTCTTTACAAACAGAGCAGTAATAGTAAATATGTAAATAAGTATGTTGAATAGTAAATATTCAACATTTTAACTGATGCTGTTTGTTTTTTCTGTTATTTGTTCTTAATATTCCATTAACTTTTTTTGAAAAAAAAAAAACATTTTTCAGTAAAAATATTAACTGAGAGTGAATGATTAGTAAAACAAAATAAAATAAATTTAATATTACAGAGAAATAAGTCATATAAGACTAATGCTAGTTTTGTATTTCTGTTAACGATTAATTAAAGAAACAGGTTGGGATTTATAGGTTAAATTATATATGAGAAAACTCATCAATTGAATGCAATGAATAAAAGATTATGATTTACAATTTCAGTAGAACATATACAATGATTGGCACTGATTATTCGTCTCTGATATGCAACATAATCAGATCAAATAAGTTATTTCCATATAAATGATTAAAATGCTCATTGAACTTGTCAGCTATACCCAAATTTAAAAAATAAAAGGGAATTGTCGATGTCACAGATTAAGCTACACAGTAATAACACACATAAATGTTACACTTAGGATAGTAAACAAAACGTATTTCCGTTGAAAACTCAGATTCAAAAATTTTCTCGATCGCAATACTTACCCTTGAAAGTAATAAAACTATTGCTGCTAACTATTAAATAGCCATTATTTAAAGATAACTAAAAATTAAAATCTCAAGTATAAATTATGAAAAATAGATTTTCATATAAACAGTACAATGAATGAAACCTTTAAATCAATAGAGTTCAACCGATTTTCAAATGTTCTACTACCTATACATTATAATTATACATTCTGTTTCAAAAAAACATGTAATAAGTGAAAAAATATTACAGCTAATCAGAAAAAAAGAATATTTTATCATTGATTAGAGACAGATATATCATTCCAGGAAAGCTATAAAACTGGCAAAGGCTTACAATGAATCAATTACCTATATTTAACAAAAACCTGTGCAAAAAGTGAAGAAATCAATTTTTTTAAAAATTAAGAGTAGTAGAAAAATTAATTATACTATATAGGACCTAATAATAAAGGGTAAAAAAGAAAACGTAATTTACATGCAATTGTCTTGAATAACTAGCTTTAGAAAAGAAATTTAAAAAAAGTAGATATACTGAGGAGAAGATTGTTATCAGTTTGTTGAGGATACCAAATGACATAAACAACTACTTACTTCTTTGACATCTTTGAAAGTTGTGATTTCGCTAGTCAAAATATTAACAATAACAGGATTGCTCATCATGCAAATAGTATGACAGCCATAAAATAATATTTCTGTACAGCATAGGATATAAATTTAGTCAATTTTAAACACCAACTCTGTTTAAAATAGAACGATAACAAAACCAAGAAACAGAATGGAAAGGTAACAACTGTTTACCATCATGATGCTTATAACCTGCGCGGTTTTTAAAACGTGAGTTAGGTCGATTTTGTGCTTTGTTTATCTAATTGTTTTACAATGTCAAAACGAAAATACTCGGAATTGGAAGATACTGCTGGGCCTAAAATTCCCATTCAAAATAAACCAATCAATAAAAATTCTCTCGATTCGGACGAAGAAGATGAAGATGATGAATCTGATAGATATGCACTAAAAGATGAAGATATTGAAGGTAGGTACCCATACAAACTAAATATTCCTTGAAGTATAATATTAATTATAATATTTTTACCATTGTTCTATCATTTATCCATACTTCTACAGTTATCATAACATGGATATTGACTTACTTCATAAGTATATGTTCAAGAGCTCTAGCTAAATATTTACTATTATTTTGCTGAAAAACGCAAGTTTTCATATCATTGCTTCTTTAATTATTATTTTAAAAGTATTATCTGATAATTAACCAAGATTAATCATGCTTTTGTGTTTAGATTCTCAATGTAAGATATTTTGAAAAATGACCTAGCGTCAGTCTTTGCCTGGGTCATGATATTTACATCATTATATTTTAAAATGTGTGTAATATTACAGTAATTTCACATATTTTCTTGTCGATTGGTGCACCAAGATCATAAGATGACAGTGTTAATGGTATGTTCAAGCAACATAAGTCATCTGTATTTTATCAGGATAGGTAAGATTACATTTCCAACAAAGTAGATAAAATTGGATGCTGTACTTTCAGGTGCACTCTGCCTGTTTTGGTATTTTGTGTACATATAATATAAATATTGAGAAATAGTATTTAAAAATGGATAGATAAAAACAATTAATGAATTAAGGAAGTATAAAGTAATGGTAACAACGCAGAGACTTATTTATTTAATAAATTTTAAATCAAGTGTGCCATGTACATGTGATCTTGGTGCACAAGTCGTCCAGCCATGACACTACTAATAGTCCATGGTACAAACCTCTTTTTATCAAATTATTAACATCCGCCTCAATCTTCGTAAATAGCTTCATCTCATCGTAACCTACAACTATTTTATTTACGAAAACTCTTGGAATTAGGACATTTTCAATCTGGAGATCGTCAAACTTTTTAATTTAATTACGTATTATAAACTCGTATATACACATTTGCTTTCAACTTGAATCATAAGATAATTTCAGCACAAACTTGAGAAAAATGGTGACCTTAAAAAATATTGAGCCATTTGACGTAACTTACACCCCTAAAATATAGGTTGTATAGGCCAAGAAGTGGCCCAATATTTTTGTAGGCCACCCTTTTTCTCGATTTTGTGATCAAATTATCTTACGATCCAAGGGAAAAGCAAATGGTTATATAGTTTTTAGTACCTAATTATTTAAACAAAGTTGGATGATCTCCAGATTAAGAATGTCCCAATTCCGAGAATTTTCATGAATAAATTAGTTGTAGGTTAGGATGAGATGTTAATAATTTGAAGTTTTAGGCAGATGTTAATAATTTGATAAAGAGGGGTCTGTACCACGGACTATATAGTATTGCCGTATCCATTAGGACCATCCCTTATTTCTTGGGGCAGTCTTTTTTCTGACCCCATCAAGTGACACAACGTATCCATTAGTTTTTTTTTTTCATGAAAAATTGTTATGTGTTCCATTTTGCCAACACCGCATCAAGAAACTTATCTTTTTTCTATTTAATGTTGTATTAGTAATAATATGGCAATCAAGTATTCTAGTACTAATGTTTTTTTTTTTTTAGTTAACTTTTATTTTATTTTTTTACATACTGTTAAGATTTTTATTTTTAAATTAAAATATATTTTGAATTTAATATACTTTTTTGATTCACTGTATGTATATTTAGAAACAAACTTATGTCACACAATTTGTTTCTGTCTTCATTGTTTGTTTAAAATAATTATGTTGCCTTATATTTTCAGTTTCTTGAACTGAAATGATTTTGAAAGTTCATTATTATAAAAAAAGTATGCAACACTATAGCCATTACTCCCGGTTAAACAGAAGTAATATATATATTTCTTTTTACCCTAGGACAAGAGGAAGGAAATGTGGGTTTGGAGGAAGGAGTTCAGTTTACACCTTTCAACATGAATGAAGAATTGGAAGAAGGACATTTTGACGCTAACGGAATGTATCATTGGAAAAAAGAGAAACTGATTCGTGATAATTGGTTGGAAAATATTGATTGGATCAAGGTTATTTTTTTTTTGTATTGTACTTTTTATTTTATCATTATTTGTTTTTTGTAAACTATTATCTCTTATATGATGTATGTGGTAACAATAGAGTATTGCATAGGAAAAATCACCATTTATTCTGAAAAAAATCCTGCTAAAATAAAAGACACGTGTTATAAGATATATAGTCAGATTTTAGTGAATCAACTTTTGGACGATAGGTTTGCTTTAATAACTACGATTTCTTAAGTCTAGCATAAATTCGTTTGCTATATATTTTTTTATAAGCTAACCCATTTTTCAGTTTATAAAATTCACATTATAACTTTCATCTAGTCACATCTTTTCCTCACCAAAGATAAAGTGTTATCTTTCTGGGAGTATAACTATTACTTGTGTTTTTCTTTATTATAGATTCTCATCTAAAGTTACAAATTATTTTTGCAGGCCAATTTATCAAATTTTACCACTGTTGGTGATTCCTGAAGAATCATAATTTTTGTAAACCTAGTCAAATAAGAGGTGCTAAAGCTGATGAGTATATACTCATGATATATATGTGTTATCCTCTTAAATAGTGCATCATTGCAAAATTTTCAGTTTATCCATTATAAAAAATTAATTTAGCGTTCCTTTTAGCTTATTATTATTATAGTTCCTCCTCATTTTTAAGAGTTCAAAAAATAATAGTGCCACTAATTCAAATGTACTATTGTATAGTATACATTAACTTGATTATTAACTTTTAGAAAATAATCATTATTCACATTCCTATAATTCTGTCAATACATTATGTGCAATGCATCTTAATTTCTACTAGATAATATATATGTATAGTCTCTAAATACAAATCAATCTCTGGAAGTAGTGAGTGATGTCATACTTACCACATCCTTCAGCCATTACATTCTTATCAGCAAGCCTGATATCATGACTTTGAAAGTAAACATTTTTTGAACTGATGGTTGTAGAATATTCTAGTTTTCTCCTAAATGTTTTGTAATACATTCGTGTTGAACAATAAAAAACCTAAAAAAATTCAATAAAAACAAACATATACTCCATTTTTATCTCACAAAAAAATATATTGTATTTACCCGGCGTACTTTTCTACTGCATCTCAATTTTTTTTTTATATTGCCTCTTGGCGATTTCCTGGTTTTTAATTATATTTTTAACCAGTTTAGTTGTACGATGAAAGAAAAGATTGACAGTTAAGTTCAACTTACTAGGTTCTTATGATTTGTTGCTTTGATTTGTTTTTCCTATTCATTACATTAACTTTTTAAAAGTCAGTTATTCTGCTCAAGGTTGATTACAACCAAAATATTTGAATGACACCTAGTTGTGTCACTATTGATATAATATTTTCAAATAATAGTTGTGTCAATATTTTTAAAATATAATCTCCTGATTTTCTAAAAAGTTATTCTCTTTGTCTTTTATAGTCTTTTATGATTTATACAAGTATAAATCATAATAACGAATGAGTATTACATATTTAAAAAAAACGATTAGGGCATCTCTCATAGGCACCATTGTTAACTTTAAAAGCTGTACATATCTCTTATTTTAATAATCATAGAAATTTTGTGAAGAATCTCAACTTTAGTAGTTCTTAAGAGTGTAATTTACACTGTACCTGTTAGGTCAGTATTGTTTATCTTCTAGAATATTTTTAATGTTCGATTGGTGACTTTGAATATATGCTATATTTGTCAAAGACTAACACATATTTAAATAAATCCTTCTATGTTTTGAAAAAAAAATGTTAAATTTGTAATTACTGATATCATTCTGTATTTATAACATTTAGAATTTAATGATAGGCTACTTGAACATTGTTATTCATTAATGTTAATTTCATATTAATTTTTGTTTACTGTTTGAAGGTAAAGCAGTCCGAAGCCCCAGTTGAAAAAACTACAGAAGACCTTGAAGAAATGCCTGAAGCAGTTGATGTGATGCAGCTTTATAAAAAAATACTTAATTATTTACAACCCAAAGAATCTATAACACATGCTTTAAAAAGATTGGGTAAGATAAAAGTAATATTTATTTCAATATTGTGAAAAAAGTGTAACAATCATCAGTTTGAGTGGCAATGACTCATAATTTTTGCAGAGCCAATCGTTTTTTATTTTCTAGTAGCTCATAAATCTCTTAGTGGGTGTTCATACATGCATGCAGCTTTACAAGTTTGTATCAACGTGAAATTCGGTTTTGTTTACAAATCAGGGATGCGGAATTAGTGAAAAGATGGAGCCAGATTCAAAAACAAATAGAGAGTTTGTTTATGAATCTAGGTGACTTATTGAACATGCATAATTTCTGTAAATGAGAAAGAATCAAATTACTATTAGTTATTAAGGGATAGTTGGACTTTTGCTACATCTACTTCACTTAATTTTTTTTTTTTGTTATCTATTCACTGTAATAGTTCTTATTGCCAGACTTGATCATTAATTTACTATTATTTACTATAATTGTGTATATTAGTATTTTATAGTATTGATATTGTTTATGTTGTGTAATATGAAAAATAATTTGTATATATATAAACATATGATTAAGTATAATTAAGTGCTAAGTCCAAAAAAAAAAGATTGATGGTTATGCTGTGTATCGAGCAACCCTATGTAGTAGGGTAGCACTGCTTTAAATAAAGTATTTCTCTCTTCTCTCTTCAGAACTCCGTGTTTCCTACCCCTTGGAAGAAAGCCATCATCCGTCCTTTAAATAAAAATTCTAACCCTACTTCCCCTGAAGATTTCCGTCCAATCTCAATCTTCTCTAGCCTTTCAAAACCACTGGAAAGAATAGTGCAATCCCAATTTCCTATAACAGTCCAGTCAACTTGACCCGCTCCAATCTGGTTTTAGACCAAATCAATCCGCACAATCCCCCCTAATCAAAATCATGAGTGATGTTCAATCCGCTATAGACAACCAAAAAGTAACTGTCCTTGTACTCCTAGACTTCCAAAGCCTTTAATACTATCAATCATTCCATCCTATTTTCCAAATTAAAACCATTAACCTTTTCTAACAGTTCTATCCTTTGGTTTCAATCTTTCCTTTCTCAATGCACCCAAGTAAGTATGTATTAAGTAACAAGGTTGTAATTTTCTTTATGCATTTTTTTTTTCTTCTGTTTTGAGTATGAAACAGAATTTCTATCAGCTTTCACAAAGCATTGTGAGTAGGTATAATTTTTTTTTTTTTTCTTACCTTCTACCTTTTCTATTCATAAGATCGTATTTTTTTAAGTGTATTTTATTTTATTTAAAAGTATTTTATTTTTTTACTTATCTTCTATACACTCCTCTCTATGTGTGTATGTTTGTGTGTGTATATATATATATAGATAGATAGATAGATAGATATTCTTTCTTTTTTTTTTTCTACTCGTAATCTATTGCTTCATAGGTAGATCACAATGCTTGTCTAGTTTTTCACAATATCTTCATGTGTTTTCATTTAATCTTCTTAAGGAAAGGAAAATATGTAAATCATTTATTTACTCTAGTTATTTTTTATTTTTTTTTTATATATTTTATTACTAAAATGGTTTGTCTATAAAACTTATTTAGCGTTTATTTCTAATTTTATTTAGCCATTTGTATGTTTTTGTTTTTTGCACCAATATTGGAATATTGTATTCTAATATCCATCTGCTCTCCTTAATATACCCTCCAAAACTATGTATATACTCATTTTATTACTTAGATTTTAGGTATTATTTATTGTAATAGGTCATCTGGCCAGATTTATTGTCAATTTGTATGAACAATATTGTTATTCTTAAGGGAACTAGTCCTAGAATTTCCAGAAGATAATTTTCCATTCTATTCTTAAATTATTCTCTATTGTTAATTTGTAATTAAATAGAAACTCTTCTTCTCTTTTATAGCTGTTTTATCATATATATTTATCTTATAAAATTTCCTACATTTTAGGAGGGAATAAAAGTTTATCAGCTTCAGAGAGGTTAAAATTAAAGAAGGCTGGAAAACTTCCCACAGAAAATATGGGACATCCGGAAAAGGTCACTGAACTAACTGAATTGGCCAATAAAATTCTTACTGAAATAGGCAACATGGATATTTATCAGGAAACTTATGAATTCATCTCAGAAAAAGTAAATTATTTCTTTGGTTAATATTTCTACTGAAGTATTCAGGAAAAAATATCTTCTTTTAAAAATATTTCCACATTGATTTGTCCATTTTAGCTTTGATTATGACCAACCTTTTCATTCCATGTATCATTGGTTCAGAAAATCAGTTTTTAATTCATTTTAAAAGTTGGAGTCATTACAGTTCCATGAGCTCAAACATAGGAAATTGTTAACACATATAAACTCCAAAGAGGGATTCCATGAATTATGCCAAAGTTTATTTAATACTTATTTTGATTTTAAGGAATATATATGTAGTTCTACCATATATTATTACTTTAAGGTTGCATTAAAATTAGTGGAAAGTAGCTATCATGCTCATAAGTCACGGCTTGGAAAAGATTGCTTTAAAAAATAAATAAATGACTTGAAACAAATATGTTGAATTTAATTGTGAAGTTGTTCATAAATAAGTTTGTGATTCATTACATTTTTATTTTCTTTGTAGGATGTATTTTACTCATATTCTTCCTGGATTCTCTGGATATTTTCCAATTCAAAGCTAAAATTGGATTACTTCAATCCAAAGCTTAATTAAGTAAAAATGATGGTACTACTTCACAAGAGTTCCGCACGGTACACAATCACCTCGGTCACACTTGTTCATGGAATCCCGAATGTGTTCGGGTTTACCCGAAAGAGAACGAAGGCGACCGATCTCTTGAATCAGTTACTATTAACTTTCCCGCCGTTTAAATACTTCTATAATCTTAACCATGTTCAGTTATATTAACGTTATTTAAGGTATTGACTTACATTCGAAATTTAGGCTACAGATTATGAAACCTAAATCGAACATGTACATGTACTATACATCTGAAAAAGAAATAGAAATAGGTAAAAACATTTAATTATTATTTCTCTGAATTGTATTTCACGATATTATTTTTCTTATTTATGATTGTCATTATTCATTATTTCGGAGTTATCAGATATTCTTCGTCTGTTGTTTCCCCAATACGTTAATTCCTTTCTCAAAAATAAACACGATTTTTTATTTTAGGAATGACCACAATAATTGCCATTCTCATTATTTATTATCCAAATGATAAAAAACTCTTTTATACAATTTATAAAAGATAATATACAACAGTATATGCGTATTTACAGCCACTACATGTAAGCATGTGTCAATAAAAATGTTATTTTTAAAATATTTTTTTTTTAACAGGCCTTGAAAAAACGACTCAAACATTATTTTATATGTTTTTTCTTTTTCTTTCATAGTAATCACCGTTACAATACAAATCAATAATTAACCAATTAGTAAATACACAATTTGTTAATAAATTGTTAATAAGGAAGTTCCATGTAGGAAATACTTTTTTTTTTTTCCAAAAATGCATGAAAAAGGATTGAGTGATGAGGTAATAGCTGACCTCATAAAAGACGACAACATTCGGCTGTTTTCGGGATCCCATGAACAAGTGTGATCGAAGTGATTGTGAAGCACGCGTAATCCGTACGGAACTCCTGTGAACTAGTACCAAAATGATTCATAGATACTCATATTTACTATGGATTATACATATTTAATGTAGATGAGTCATATTTTAAAAATAAAATGTCTTGAAACTTTGTAATAAAAAGTCTGTAATAAAACTGAAATAAAAAGTCTTTGTAGTTTTCTATAACTTAATTATGTTGTTTTGAAGGTTTATTGGAGAGAGATGTTAATTTTTATACATTTTATAATAAATTTTGATAAATATGTTTTTAGGTTGCTGCTTCAACGTCCAAGGCTGAGGAACCTGTCCTTGATATGTACGCTGATGATTTTGAAGATAAAGAGAAAGAAAGGCTCTCTGAAGTTCCTTCTGAAAACAAGCCTAACTCAACACCGTCAGAAAGTAAGTTCAATGGTCATTTCATAGCAATTTAAAAAATGAATAAAAATCTTTATGGATCTGGAATAAAAATGGAAATTATTTTGATGTTAATTAGTAGTGATCCGCCAATATATTTAATTGTTAATGTATCAATTTCAGATAATGTCCTTATGTGGGAATATAAAGAAAAAGAAGGTAGCAAAGAACTCAAAGGTCCCTACTCAACAGAACAGATGGCCAAATGGTCCGAAAGTGGAAAATTTAAAAGTGGAGTCTTAGTGCGGAAATGTGGTAGTGAACAGTTCTACACATCAAATCGGATAGACTTTGAACTCTATTTATAAGCACTATTTTAAACTATCACTTTTTTTTTTTTTTTTGTCATTATTGTACATAAAAATGATTTTTATTCTTATCTGGGTTTTGTATATTTTAGTATTTACCTACTGACTCTGTATAGTGAAAATAAAAATAGAGATGTAAATAATGTTTTTAGTGGAGTAAAATATATTATTTGTATTTATCTAATTTCCATGTTTTAAAAGTGTCTGACTCTAAACTGCTGTGATTATAGAGTTTGAGTATGTATATTATTTTTTAAATTGATTTATTCTTTTCGTAGAATACTGGATTTTTATCATTTCCACATTTAGAGCCACCATATATATTGCAGAGAAAGTAATAGTAATAGTACAATAGGCCTTCATGGCCGCGGTGCATTTATTATTAAAAAAATAGTAATAGTGAATAGAAACTGATATATAAAATTTCACCTTAAATTTTAGAAAGGAGGCAAAAATATTTTACTCTTTGTTATAAGGGCACCCGCTGCACTCTATCCACTGTTTAATCTAGCTACCCTTCCCAGTCATTTAGAGAAGCCCTCCTCACTTTTGCAGTATTTTAGGATTTAGGAATCGGGAGATGATAAATATTAAGGAATACCTTTACCAGTTGAGAAGTTTAGTTTGGTGAACCACATTTTCCTTGTTTTATACACAGTTTCAGGTAGACTCCATTAGCCAAAATTTTAAATATAAATTGTTCTGAATGATTATTTAGCTGGGTCATTTTTGTTATCAACAATCTTTAATTTTTGTAATTTAATACCTATGAAGTTTACAAAGTGAGACAATGCTTCCAGAACAGATTTAGTGTTTGTTATTATATCAATATTAGATGGATTGTCCTTATTTAACAGAGTTTTAATTTTATTGATGAAATTATATATTCCTGCAGTATATTTAATGCATGACATCATTCTATGTTTCGGATCCTCCTCAACTACACCTAATTTGCAATTATCTGTATCTTTTCTCATAAGCATATATAGGTAGATACATAATATAGCATGATTAATTCTTAATCTAAACATTGTTCGTATCCAAATTTTAGAAGCTTTGATATTAGAAAACCAGGATTCCATTGTTGTCAGTGGGCAATGAGATTTATAAAACATCTATTTTTCTTCTTTTTCATAAATTTCCTGCCATTTTTTTTTTCTTCTTCCCTTCAGTTATACAAAAATACAGATTTTTGGTAGAAGTAGTTGATACTTTTACCACTCATCTTCAAGTTCTTCAGTCTTCGTTAGCGGAGGTTAAAGTGATCATCCCTGACTATTTCCTTCCACCTGTACATGAATGCTTCATAGTAAGGGTAGTTATACTTACTTACTGGCTGAGAGAAATCGTCCCTGTGATGATGTAGAGTCCAGTTTCTCTTAGTAGTTTGGCCCTTATTGCTTTAAAAACAGTGGAAGTCAGGACAATATGCTCAGCAGTTTCCGGAACACCACAACAGGGACATAGGGAATTAATTTCTTTTCCAAAGCCATGAAGTTTGGCGTGAAAACTCCCATGCCCTGTCCTCTAACCCTAGCGAATATAACAGTTTTTCCTTGTCGTTCAATAAAAAGAATTTTTTTCTAAAATCAGAATGATCTTGAATTATATTTTTGATTTCCTAGTTTTTTTTATGTCACTTAAACTGTCAGTTATAATTAAAGCTTTATTATAATTGCTGTCTTACATACAATCTAGAGCTGCTAATATCGCTGTCAGTTCGGCTGTGTAAACTGAAGCCTTTTCGTGTATACTAATAAGGACACTGTGGTTATCTGTAGCATTATAGGCAGCAGCCCTTACTCCCTTGGAGCTCTTAGATCCGTCAGTGAATATTAGAAAAAAGGATGGAAAATTTAATTTTATATATTCTTTAAATTAAGGATCGTGTTGAGGTTCTGTAACTATGTCAAAGTCGGGTAGAGAAGTTATTTCTATGTTTAGTATAAATATATCGTAAATACAAATAAATATGGGAGGTTTATTCTGAACATTAATACACAAATACACATTATCCCTTAAATATAATTTAGTTTTCAAGTTATTATCCATGCTAATAAAATAAATTAGTCAATTTATTGATTGGATTATCCATCAAAATCATTTCTGACGATGTATAAATTTTGAATTTTTAAAACTTAACCAATTTATTTACCGCCATATACCTTTCGATCATTTTTATAATTTAATGCAAGGGGTTATAGTTCTAGTCAAAGTCAGATAACAGCAGCACTTTCGAGCTAGCTAAAATAATAGTTCTGATGATGGGCAGAAGATCACAGCACCTTGAAAACAAACTATAGATATTGCAAAGAAGTAGTTTTGTTAACTATTAAAGAAGGAGAGTACCCAGGACTTAAGGTGATAAGGAACACTTTGGTGACGAAAAAATAACTTTTTAAGAAAATTATGAAGTTTGTAGAGAAAACAGTTCAAAGAGAGAAAAATTTCTGTTTTTTTCTTGCTCAAGACTAATCTCAGCATAAACGATATTATATTTTTCAGTAATCAAAGCCACAGTAAGCTATATTTTATTTAAAGATATTTACAATCTTAATGTTTATCGGTACAATACTTTTTGTAACAATAATAAAGATGCCCCTCCTTGTTTTTGTCCAGGTTTAGTAATTCAACTATTAACTAGATTTTTTTTTAAAGTTATTATTAAGCAGAAAAACAATCAAAAGATTAAATTTATCAGTTTTTCTATATTTTTTAGATTGATTATTTAATAGGGCTAAGTAAATTATCGGTGGATGATTCAAGTTTACTATCCCAAAAACAGAGGCGTAGTTATGAGGGAAAATGGGAAGTGGAATGAATTTTTATTAGTTTTTTAGAGAGGTATTCTAAAAGCTATATTGATTTTTTCTAATAACTTATTTAAATTCAACCATACATGGACATATTGAAATAGTAATAACATTATACAAACAAATTGGTGTGGCATTCATTACTAGATCATTCAATTAAATAATAAAAATATTAATATATACCTTTATATGAACATAGATATAAATTTACATATGGGCAGAAAAATTTGTCCCATAGACTTAAGGGATTTTTTGGCTCTGGCTGAGTTAAAACCTAACTAACCTGAAGGGAAATCTAAAAAAATTAGAATTGAATTGCTTGGAGCACATACACTTATGATGGCCATGAACAATGTTTATTCCTACACTGCTTTTTTAAGATTTAGATTATGAGCACAGTTTTGTTGTCTTCAGGGAGCAATACACTAAAATTTATGTATTTCTTAACATTAATTAAATTCTAATTCTCAAGTTATATAAATATGAATATCATTACCTTATCAACTTTTTAATTTCAAAATAAAATATTGTGATATCAATATGGGATATCCAATCAATATGTTTGTGCACTAAATTTTGGAATAAATGACTGTAAATGGAATTACAGTCATACATTTTTTTAAAATTACTTAAATGTCCATCTTCAAAATCATTTCTAAAGCTATGCTTCTCACATAAAGTCTCATCTCCAATTATTAACTACTTTTTAGACATACATTTTCCTTTTTAGTTTTCACTTATCTAAATTTTAAAATTGAATTTTATTGATTTATTAATTTAATAGACCTTATTTTCAATTTTTTAACTTTGACAGAAAACAAAACATGTTTGTTATTTACTTCTGGTTCTTTAGTTTTCTCTCTCAAATTATGAGTGTTTTGTTTTTAAAAATATATTTTTCAACTTGAAGTTAGGCAATATTTTTTTTTACTTTATTTATTGAACATTTACCACTAAAACAAACAAAATGAAGAAAACGGTTGCATATTAATGGTCTTTATATAAATAATTAGCACCCAATTATTAATTAGTACCATGTAAGATTTATTCCGGACATAAAGTTATTTACAAGTTTATCCATTGGATAAAACCACCCTCTTAGAACATTGTCCATTAATTAAACATATCGTTGAGTGAGAGACAACAAAGAAAAAAAAATTGACCCTATTGCATTAGAATAATCCCTGAATTTTTATCTTACATTGTACAACAGCATAAGAAGAAATTTGAGGTGGTAATAAAAGAAATACAAAAGGACTTAATTACTATTCCTAGTTTACAATAATATACTTTCAAATTCTCTCACATTTTATTTAATTACATCTTTAAACATACAAAGACTCTTTGTGGGTTATATTACATTTAAAATTTAAATCTAGAGGATGGTTTTAAAAATAAATTAAATATTTATATAGAAATTTAATCACTTATATGAAGAATTATTTATCTTATAGCAAATACTCAGACAACTGTCTAATGTTCAACTTTTTTTTTCCTATTTCATTTTTGTTTCCTTTTAGATTAAATAATTTAATAACATTATAATTTATTTTATTTTATATGTCTTTCAGAATATGTTTGTTGGAGAGTACTCAAGATAAATCAAAAATACACTTCATGTTTTAATAAATTTGACAACATTGGAATCATTATGTCTTTTACTGTTTTTATCTGGTATCAAGAACAAATAGGAGCAGAGTAGCTCAGTGAGTAGGGTACTAAATTCATAAGCTTGAGATCCGTGTTGGAATCCGGCTAATGACAGTTAATTTTTCATTAGCAGTGGATTAACTCTGGCATTGGAAGATCTTTCTGGGGTACACCCAACCTTCATAAAGTGGTTACTCATAATTAAATAATTAACTAAGAGGGAAAAACCTGGTGGTTGAGAGATCCCAGCCCGATCAACTCCCTGCACAACCATTGGCCTTGAAAATACTTCCTTACAAGATACTGAATGCAAGACCCTTCAGGAGTTGTAGTGATACAAGTTTATCAAGAACAAAAGCAAAAAAGAAAAGACTTATTTTTAAAAATATATCATTTTTCAAATAATATTTATCATTACAAAAGCTGTTGATGTTTTCTTAAAGATTAAATGAGTATAATTTTGCCTTTCTGTTTAAAAAAGATGTAATTTTAATGAAGTATAATATTTTATTATTTTACATAATAATAAATTCTTTTAAATTATATAAGTTCATAAGATATTTTAACATTCTGGTCTTTTTTTAAATTATCCATTTCACGATCTGTTGAATAACATGTTGAAATTTGATATCACACATTTTGGCCATTTGGGCTAAATTGCATGTTTTTGTTTTTTCTTACATGATATTGCATAGTTTGCATTTTAAGGCTGAATTTTAAATTTAATAGCATGCAATTAAATTCATGAAATAAATTTCCTTTGTTACATATAGATTTAAAGCTATGCATGTTAATATTTATTTACTTTTATTATTTATTTCTATATTGGATTTATAATTAAGAACAGCGGTGTCCAACCTATCCTCCACTATAAATTATATGCTGAAGGTTCTGAATTTGCTTATGAACAGAGTGTAGGTTTTAAGTTTGTTGTTCTTAATTTTTTTATCTATAATTACTTTCTAGGATGAAAGTTTATTTTAGATACATGTTTAATATAGGTACCAAATTCACTCTCCAAGTATAATATCATTTAATTGTATGAATAACATTATAAATTTGGGTGAGGTAATAATTTTATTATACTTTAAATTTAACGTCGGTACATACAGCCAAAGCTCCTTATGCTCATGTTTTAGTTATTTGCGGTCCCATACATAGAAATAGAAATAGAAAATAACTTTATTCTGGGACAAAGTCCCTTTAGAATAACAAAATAGAACATAATTAAAATACTACATCTGGCCAAAATAAAACAATAATAAAAAAGAGAAAGTAAAGAAAATATTAGTTAAACAAGCTATATACAAAAAAAAAAAAATCTATATACAAAACACTTAAAACTATGATAAAACACTTAAGACTATGTACAGTAAGGAAAATTATAATTATACTCTTTTGAAAAATAAAATAATAAAAAATACATTGAGTTCTTCTTTAAAATGAGGTGTGTTTCTGCTAACAAAGAAAAAACCAAAGCTGACAATATAAAATATCAGTGTCTTTAAATAATGATTAATATGTAGACTCATCGTTGTCAAATGCTAGAGGTACAGATTTAATTATATACCAATAAAAAATAATAATAAAAATAAAAATAAAAAAAACAAACAATAGATGCGGTCAGTGGCATTAAGAGCCGGAAAATATTGTAATATCCCTAGTGAAGTTCACAGTATAGAATAGCACTATCGTTTGATGATGACTAGAAATGTATAATATCGAAAGTTTAGCAAGTATCTGACTGTTTTTGGGATAGGAATTGGAATAGGAGGGATTTGAATGTGGATATGGAGGGAGAATGCCGAATTTTGATAGGTAGAGAATTCCAGAAATTGACAGCGCGAGCTATAAAGGAATTCTGAAATGAGGCAGATCTGTGCGAAGGGATGTAGAGGTCAGAAGGTCGAGATCTTGTTGAAAGGGAATGGACTGAGGACTTGAATTGGACATATGTATCAATTGTCAAAAAAAAACGTTAGATTTTGTACTGTTTTTTATCGTTTTAGTGAACCTTAACTATATTTAATCACTCGTGGTAAATTGTTAAATAGAAAATTTTTTGCAGAAAAATTTAATTTATTTTTTAGGGTAGGATTAAAAATAATAATCTAGACCAAAACATAGCCCGAACCTCTAATTGATCTTAAATAATTCAACAGTAGTTTGTTAATATTCTCACTTATTAAGTAAGTGAAGTGTTAGAACAACAACAATTAGTAAGGTAACAGTATTTTATATTTTTGTTCTCTTGCAGTTGACATTGTTTATACCTAAAGACATCATTTAAAATAATACGTCAAACTCAAAAGACTTATTAAAAGGATGGGGCTACTTCTGTTTATCTTTAAAATCCTCTGCATAGATTTCATCAAACTTAAGAGTATTGCACAATATCGTTAAGAAAAATGTAGTTGGCATTTCCAGTCTTTTGTTATCAACCCTTGAACTACCTGAAGTTGAATAAAAAAAATAAGTAAATAAACATTTGAAGTGCCACATCATTCAACTGGTGATCATTTAATTTTTTTACATTAGGATTAAACAGATAAATATATAAAGAAAGAAATATCAACAATAATAGCCACTTCTTCTGTATTTTCTATCTGATAACAATGATCCAGAGCTTATTAACTTTTATTTTACTCCTTGTCCAGGTGTTTGGTGAGTCCACTGTTATTTTATATATCTGTTCCGTTTAATGTCTAAGCAGTTATATTATTTTTTTTTTAAGCTAATAGTCTTTAGCAGGATTATTTATACTTTTCTATAGACATAAGTTTACAGAGCTAACAGAGGTATTAAATTACTTGAGAATTTATTTTTTTTTTCCTACCCCCCAGGAATTTCTTGATTATAAAATATAATATATATATAAATGTATATATACATAAATTTTCAATTTCCTTTTATTGCCCAAGGGCATTTTAAGGTAAGAGGGCTATGCTCGCTGTATATATTATACCACTGGGCGTGGAGGGACCGCCCTGCATTAAAAAATTACTTGAGAAAAATATTTTAAAACGATATATACAATTTTTGCAAAGTTAATTCATGCGGGAAGATATTTAAACAAAACCTTCATGTAAAAAAAAATTAAGGTTGCATGTTGTAGCTAGAGCTTAATTTTACAATTTATTTCAGAATGAACCTAAAACAATAACACTCATTAACATCACCAAAGCTCATGCCTTTTAAGAAAGATTATGATTTAGGGAGTGTCTTGATTTGAACAAATTACAAACATGCCCTTGATACAACCTTAAATTATAAGTGATAATTTATGACCTTACCTAGTGGTTGCTAATTAAGATTAATACATTTTACAGAACATATTTGAATGGTTCGTGCGTATAAATAATAATTTGTTGAAGAAATTGACAATAATTATTTATTTGATTGGAATGAAATGGAAATATATGTTATTAAGTATGAAGTATGATAATTATCACGTCATTTTCATAGCTTGATGATTATTTTTTTTATGAATTGTGTACTCGAAATCATAATCTGAGCAGGATTATAATGTACTTGAACTGACAAAATATTTATTTTATTGAAAAATTAAGTAAATAAGATGTAAACATTTATTTTTAAATACAATTAACTTTGCAATAAATTAACGACATTGTTGGTAGTTCATACATAATATATCTTTTTACTACTGTACTGGCGGCCCTGGAAAATATGTATAATAATTTATTTATTTAACACAAAAATTAACTGTAACATATTAATAAATATAAATTAATGATAACATTTTTTTATTTTTTTTATTTCTTTTATCATCTTCTTCCTCTCGGCAATACAGATTTTTGGAAGAAGCAGCACGATACATCTACCACTTGTTCTTTTTCTTTGCTCTTCTCCCTTCTTCATCAGTGGAGGTTGAAATGATCAACTCCCACTAATTCCTTCCACCCGTAAAAGAAAGCTTCGTAGTACGGGTAGTTATCATTAATTACTAGCTGAGAGAAATTGTTCTCCGCTAATATTTATAGTAATTTGTAACTTATTTTGCAATAATTAAATTATTTTATCAGTTTTTAATTTTTTATATAAGCCAATATTACACAGATGTTTTCACTTCCACAATACTACAATGACGTTTCGGCTCGTCGAGCCATTTTCAAAACAATTTTTCAATTCAGTCATATCTAATATTCTTTTGTTAACTTTTCATGCATGATTACTTGTATAATCTTTGACATTTTTTTAAAAAATTACATATTTTGAAATATAACAATTTTTATTTGCTTATGAAATGTAATGGACAAGTACACGATAAGTAATTATAAAAATAGTTATCTTCCAAAATACGAATTTTTTAAAAAATATTTCAATGGTTATACAAATAATCATGCATGAAAAGTTAACAAAACAATAGTAGATATGACTGAATTGAAAAATTGTTTTTGGACTTGAAAATGGCTCGAAGAACCGAAACGTGGTAGTAGGAATGTGGAAATGAAAACATTGGCGTAATATTAGCTTATATAAAAAATTAGATACTGAAAAAATATACTATACCAAAATAAAAGAAAATAATATTGAGAGTAAATTATTTTATGAGTTTAAGCAGCATCAGTATAATTTAGTTTCTGTCAGGTAGATGAAATCCCATATGCATAAGTCAGTCTCACATGCATATGTATTTTCTTAGATTAAATTAATAAACTCATTTACATATTTTAATGTTCTATTTATTTATTTTATTTTAGATAGCCATGAGGCTGTCCCCCATCCTCACCACCATTGGGGAATGTACAAAAATCTTAAAGGAAATATGGTTTATGTAAATTTTGAAAATGCCAATTCTCCAACTAAGGAGCTGGAGGTTATAGATGTAGATAAAGTGCAGTTCCATTTATATACCAAGTAAGAATTTTTCTTTTTTATTGTACTGGTTGGTTCAATTATGCATGAGTTTCAATTAAAATATTTCACTTTAAGTAATTTTTAAGCACTGCTATGTGAAATTTTTTTTTATATATAAATTTTGTGAAAATGATTTATTAATAATATACTTTCACAATAAATTAAAGTTTCAATCTTTGACTCTCAATAAGAAAAGTAAACTTAATTTAAAAAATGATGAATAACAGATTCTGAGTTGTTTTATTGAAACTGATTGGGATATACACATTTCTTTATAAATCTTTTATGTTCGTCATTGTTATTTATTTGCTTTGTCAATAATAAAAAAATCTTATTCCTTTTAATATTCATATTTTGTTTTTGTGCATTTAAATATTTACTACACTATTCAAATAATTGCTTTACATTTTTTACACTTGGTTAAGTTATCATTAGATTGGGAAACTTTTTATGATTAGAGGCGCACTGAGGTTAAATCTTGATAATGGAGGCTATAATCATTTTTTATAGTTTACTATTGCTCTTTTGAATTATAAGTAAATACAAATTACACACATATATTCAGCTTAAATATTAATTAATTCTAGCAGTAGATTCATAAAAATTAAGCGACGTACGGCATTGAAGGCCCCTGGTTTACCATCTGTGGAATAGATTATTTTTAAGATGTCTTGGTAGTGCTTCATCAATGCTTAATGATGAGAATAAGAATTGAATTGCTTAAAAAATTAAAGGTGGAAAATCAATAGAACTGTTAATGAAACCATGTCAGTTCAAATTTAAATATTTGGGTTTGAAGAATATTAGAAAAACTCTTTAAAAAATACAAAATTTGTCTAAACATGAGTACTATCACAATCACTCCATTCCAGTTGCTCCACACGAAATGGGACATGGAACAACCTCAGGGTGAAATACGGTATGAGTTTCCTAGAGTAATATGGAGTGGCTGGAACTATAATGGAGTTATAATCAGTACTGGTCTTGGACATTTGTCACTCCGGGGCAATGATGTCATTCAGCCTTTCCCCCCCCCCCCCAAAAAAAAATTTTGTTTTCCTCTTTATTTTTTTTATTCACAACTGTCAATGTCAACTGAAAACATGTCAATGTGATTACTATATACAAATAAACTAGAAGAAATGACTTGATAGGCATGAGGAAGAGAAAAATACAGTGACTAATCTTCAGTTATGTTAGTGGTTAATTAAGGAGATCTCTCTTCCAACTCATTTTCAGCCTTCTGTGGATGTTATCGGCCATGTTTTTATTGGCCATGTCTTGGATGGATCTATTGGGGTGACTGTAAAGCTTGTTGTGAAACCTTTTGTAATAAGTTTGTATGTGTTCAGTGACTTACATGCGTAATTCTTTGTGGAGAGAACAAATTAAATTGATTTCTTAAACTGTTTTATATTATGTAATATTTGAATTTTATTTCATTCGATACAGTTGCTTTATTTATAGGCTAAAATTAATCATTTTAATGCGTTTTGTGTTTTTTTTTTAATTTATAACAAGTGGCAAGCGCCTGTGAAGATTGGCGGGCGTCCCACTATAAAGACGGCACTGATTATAATATATAGTTAATAAAAACTATCTGAGATAATTTTTCACATTTATGGCTGGAATTGTCATGTTTACGAGTTTAAAATAATTTTTTGAAAATTATCTGAAGGCACTAGCGGATTCAGGATTTAATTTTGGGGAGGGCTTCAGCCCGAAGGATTTTTTTTTCATATATAACGATAATTAATTTGAAAAAGAAAAAGAAAGAAACTAACTACCCATATGACATGGTGACTTAGTTATTCTTGAAGTTCTATTAAATGTAATCACACGAACAATAATAATTTAAGAGATAGTTTTTAATAATTTTTTCTATAAAACATGGTTATATTTTACCATTCTGGGGGGGCTTCAGCCGGAAAGCCCCTCCCCTCTCTCCCACCGTAAATCCGCCTGTGTCTGAAGGAAGGTGGAAATATCCTATCCCTAAGAAATGGAATGACGGAATGGAGTTATTGTCAGTGTAACCTTTTATATATTTTATCTTAACCTTTATATCACCAAGCACTCCAGTGGCTCCACTCCGTCGTTCTTTCGTGTTATTCAGAGTGATCGTCAGTGGTAGACTTATGGGGATGTGTAAATAAAAATAATCACAAATGAAAATACTAATTTTCTGTTGAAAAAAAAAAATTATATTTGAATGTGTATCTAATGGTACAGATTACAATTAAACGCATATTACGGATTTTTAAACGTAGAAAAGATTTTATTTATTCACGATATCACCTACAATACGCCGCAAACGTTATGGTATGATTTTCTCAGGAAACCAACGCTTAAGATTAAAATTGTCAACAAATGCTTTTCCTTCCTTGTTCATCATGGCTTGTTACTGTTGTATTGTTAGTCTAATTTTCCTTGTTGAATGATAAATATTACACTGATTGTGTAAACTAATTAAAATTGTCTTTAACAGTTCGAGATAATCCTTACACAAACGATTAATTATACGAATTTGACATATTATAAATAATTATCGTTTTCAATTATTATATATTTGTTGCAATACAGGAAAAATCCCAAGGTGTCTCAAAGGCTTTATCTAAATGATTCATCTGCTTTAAATTCGTCTAATTATGTTCATGAGGACGAGACCAAATTTATTGTTCATGGATTTCTTAACGATATCAACTCTGAAACCATACAGAACATAAAAAATAGTAAGAAAGGATTTAATTTTATTATTATTGGATTGAAATATGCTTAGCTAAAGTACTTGAAACTAAATACGTTTTGGTTTGTCCATCTAACAGATTTATTAGACCACAGTTCCGAGGGGTACAATATAATAGGTGTAGATTGGAGTTATTATACCATGATTTATACCAACGTTTTATATAAATCAGAAGGAGTTGGAAACATTATTGGAAAATTGGTGGATTTCTTGGTTGAGAAAGGAAGTAAATTAGAAAATATACATCTTATAGGACACAGTTTGGGAGCACAGGCTTGCGGATTTGCAGGAGCATCTTTGAAAACCGGAAGAGTTGCCAGGATCTCAGGTAAACATCTCAGGTTCTCTATCATATTAAATGTAGATTCATCGAAATACCATCAAATTGGGTTACTTTTCTACTGTTCTTAACATTTTGTGATAATCTTCTGTTTTTGTCCACTTATAGTAGTCAGAACAGTTTTAATTTTATACCTTAGCTTCTTTATAGCATAAATAAAAGAAAAGATCCCTTGTCTCAATTAAAGCGAAGAACCAGCGGAAGCGTGATTTTATTTTATTTTTTCTAAAAAATAATATTTGAGAAAGATAGTGTGTTAGTAATTTTTTTAAATTAATAGACATTTGTCATTAAAATAATAAGAATGTATCGTTACTGTTATTGCAAAAATTCCAATGTAACCATTTTACATGTTTATTTTCTTTCCTCTAAAGATGACGTTTTTTTTTATCTGCAACTGCTATGAGTAGTCTGCTATATAGGAATATAGGAGAGGGAAATAAATTATGCTACTATATTAATAAATCATCAATAAATAATTGGTTTTTATGCTCTTCATTAAAAAAAAACTTAATTTTTACATACTATTTTTTGCACTAACGTAAGTATACGCAAGTACGTTAGTAGCGATATACCAATAAAACATATTTCCATGCAGTATAAATAACGACAAAAATAAATAAAAGTTATGTATTTATTAGTTCAAATGTGTTTTAAATTACTATTATAATTATATGTAAAGTGCTGTTATAATTATATGTATACGATACTATTACGATATATGATACTGCAAATATGTTGAAGATTATTAAAAAAATGACAGATAAAATCTTAAGAGATCACAGTTGCCTATGTACTGCCAGAAAAAGCAGCTCTGCAATAAAAATTATACAACAATAAGAAGAACAAGGAAAATACCAGATAACTTGTTAATCCTTCCACTGAATTTCGGACCCACCTATTGGAAAATGCTTTTCTTCTCTTTCTCTACCAGGCCTTTCGGGCCCTAAACAACCACTTAAATACCTGAGCAATTCATAGATCATACAAGAAAAATCTAGGTCATGTTCAAGAAATTAAAAAGAAAATTTTATATCGATATACAACAAAAATATTGTGGATAAATTGGGAGAATTTTATTTCTTTAAAAAAAAAACTCCTTTCAAATAACTCTTCGGCCCCTGTGGAATATCCTTGTCTTCTTTCTAATCCGGAAGGATCTTAAATGGGACAGTGGTAAGATGCTCTTGGCCTAACGGAGATTCTTAGAAAGCAACATCTCCCAGACTCTTGCTTAGGAGCCATTCACAATAGAAAATTTTATTTTAAATTTAAAATTCCATGTCACAATCTCCTTGTATCTTCTGTTCCCTCTCCTCCTCAGTTAACTAGAAGAGTATTTAGACAACTTTCCGACGAATTTGAGTACAAAAATTGTTTTGTTAATTTCATTTTGGGGGTTTCCAATCCCCTTTGGTATTGAATTGCAATAACAAACTATGAATAACAATTCATAGGCTTGGATCCAGCATTGCCTGGGTTTGATGATGCAGACCCGGATAAGAGATTGGATGGCCAAGATGCTCTGTTTGTCGATTGTATCCACACCTGCGGTGGTAACTTGGGAATTTTCGATCCAATTTGTACAGCCGATTATTACCCAAATGGAGGCCAGGAACAACCAGGTTGTAGCTGGTTTGATTTTGGTAAGATTATTTTTTACTTTTAATATTGATAATATTAGAAAAGTTTATAATAAACTTTAGTCTAGTGGTTGAACTATATTTTAATACGATTCATTATAATGAAGTATCAATTATAGTGCACATAATCGTATAAACGGTAGTATTATGCAGTGTTGATTTCCAGAATTCCTCTTCATCATTTGAGCCTATATCCAGCCACCATATTATCGGCCACTTTATATCTTTCTATACAAAATCCTCTTTCATAAAATGTTTTGTAGAAAAAAAATTTACAGTTTTCACTTTCAATAAAAAAATCAACAATTAATTTATAATGAAAAAGTATTGTTAAAAATAACTTAATGTAAGTTAACAATTCATCTGAAGGATATGTCCCTTTTACACCATATTTACTTGGATGTAGGAACATTTATTGATATTAGGCTGTTAATTTCGAGAAATTCATGTAACATCCTTAAAAATAAATTAATGCTATGGCTAGCCCGAGAGTTTTAATTTATGTATTTATTTATTTATTTAATGAATAATTGAAAACAATAGAGATAAAGAGAGAGAAGTGAGAGAAAGGGAAACTAAATGTTAAAGGAAAGAAAAAAAAAAAAAAAAAGCATAAACAATGAAAGGAAGGAAAAGGGGGGAAAAAAATAATAAAAATGTATATATATATATATATATAATATATATATATATAATAATAATAAGGCTTAGCGAACCCGAAGGTTCGATGCCGACACCACCAATCGCTTGTTACACACCTCCCTCCACCGTTCGCCGTCCAAACCCAGTCCCTTCAGATCGGCTTTAATGCAATCTTCCCACCTTCGCTTCGGTCTACCCCTCGGACGCTTACCATTCGGCACAGCAAATATTAACCTTTTAGGAATTCTCTCGTTACTAAGCCCAACAACTTTACAAGCCCATTTGATTCGCCGCGATGAAATTACATCAATTATATTACCCAGATACAGCTCACGCAATTCGGCGTTGTGTAGCCGTCTGAACTCTCCGGTTAACTCATCCTTCTTCGGTCCGAATATTCTACGCAATACTTTATTTTCAAAAACCTTAAGACGCTGCTCATCCCTTAATGTAAGTGGCCAAGTTTCGCATCCATAAAGAACTGTAGGCAAGATAATTGTTTTATAGATTCTAATTTTTAAGTTCCGGGACAAGAGGCGCGAACTAAGTAGTTTTGTCACAGAAAAATAACAAGCATTTCCCGCCTTCAGTCTAACTTTAATCTCTTCTTCAATTTCGTTTTTTCTAGTTATCGTTGAACCTAGATACCTAAACTTATCTACCTGTTCAAACATATTACCATCTATATCGATGTCACCAGTAGTATCGCCATTTTTGCAGCTAACCATATATTTTGTTTTATCCACGTTTATTTCGAGTCCTAGTTCTTTCCCGGCTTTCATTAACGTTGTCGTATTTAGTTTTATAGTTTCAACGTCTTCGCTTAACAGTACCAGATCATCAGCATAGCCCAGCACGGATGTTGTCCCGCCCAGATCCAACCCTTTCTCGGTTCGCATTACCTCCCTAATGGCATGTTCTAATGCCAAATTGAACAGGACAGGCGAAAGTGAATCCCCCTGTTTTAAGCCCGAACGAACCTCAAATTTTTCGGACAAATTATTCCCGATTCTAACTTTATTGAGTGTCTCCGTCAAGCACATCCTGACTGGATTTACTAGTTTTTTTGGAATCCCCTGCTCAATTAGAATATTATACAGTTTCTGGCGGTCAATAGAATCGTAAGCCTTTTTAAAATCTATATACAGCTGGTGAACAATACCTTTGTACTCCAATTTTTTCTCTAATATTTGCCGTAAAGAAAATATTTGATCAATAGTCGAACGATTCCGTCTAAATCCGCATTGGTAGTCTCCGATAATTTCCTCGGCGTATTCCGTAATTCGACTGGTTAAGATTGAAGTGAATATTTTATAACATACCGGAAGGAGTGATATTCCTCGATAGTTATTACAATCCGTCCTCGGATCCTTTTTGTGAATCGGAATAAGAATAGATTCTTTCCATTCTTCAGGTAATTTCTCGTTCACCCAGATCTTTTTAACCAACCGATGTATTTTAGAAACTCCAGCTTTCCCGCATGCCTTAATTAGTTCAGTAGGAATATTATCGATTCCCGCTGCTTTATATGATTTTAATTTTCCGATAGCTACTTCAACTTCCTCTTTACTTGGTCCTTCTATTAACGGTTCAGCACTCTGGTACTCAGAAGGAGGACACAGATCATAATTTCCCGTATTTAAAATATTGTCAAAGTGGTCCTTAAACTTATTCAATATGTCAACCGGATCGGTCAGAATATTGTTATTATCATCCCTAATTCCAGACGTTACGGGCCCTACATATTTACGTGATCTGTTTATACCTTTGTACATGTCTCTTACGTTATTTTCGATTCTATTAGTTTCTATTTCAATTATTTTATTTTTAAGATACTCCCTTTTTTTATTTTTGAGCAATTTTGTCGTTTCGTTCTTTGAGATTCGGAAGTATTCCAGATTGTCTTCGCTAGGATTATTTAGAGCTTTTAATTTAGTGGCTTTTCTTTTTTCGCACATGTTTAAGCAATCTTCATCAAACCACGGTTTGTTATTCTTAGTTTCCTTTTTTCCTAGGCACGAGTTACCGACCGCTTTTATATTATCCCTGATCTCTACCCATAACTTGTCAATATCCTCGAGGTCCTCGTCAGGAAGCTCTAAAGCTTCAAACCTATTCTTAACATCTAGCTCGAATTGGTTTCTAATTGATGGATTTTTTAATTTTTCCAAATTAAAATTCTCAAAATCGAAACGGTTTTCTTTTCTCTTTTTTATATTAAGTTTTTGTCGAAGTTTCGCGATTACTAATTCATGATCCGACCCACATTCGTGTGTACTTTCCTTCCCTCATCGAGCCCTCCCCTGGCCAGCGAACCTCTTGCAGAGCCACGACATCCAAATTGTACCCATTTACCTCATTCGCGACCGATTTTAGCCCCCCTGCTGTGTTTAAACTCCTTACGTTCCACGTACCAATATTTAAATCCCTATATTTCAACTTGCACCATGAATCTCCTAAAGCAGTCCCCACCCGGAGACCCGAACGGGGGACTAGTTTACCTCCGGATAATGAGCGTTTTACCTTAGGGAGATCCATGACTTTTTGTGGTGTTTGGTGAACTAAAGATATGTGAGTAGGGCGTTCAATCCTACGTCACACCCTCCAGCAAGTCTGGTGGGCCCCTACCTCCAGCAAGTCTGGAGGTCCCCTCCCTCCAGCAAGTCTGGAGGGCCCCTCTCATTGTTGGTCATCGAGTCCATCGGACTTAGCCGGGAGGAACTTTCAAGGAATTTCCACCGACCATCCCCACATCCGCCACCCGTGGGACGCTCCCCATACGCGGTAATGTATATATATATATATATATATATATATATATATATATATATATATATATATATATATATATATATATATATATATATATATCTATTTTAATAATATTAAGTAAGACTTCTGTATATTTATATATAAGTTCATATATTGTCCTAAGGATAGAAGAGTATGCTGTGTGCAAGCCTTTATATTTTATATTTTATGAAAATAAAGTGTTTCTCTCCTTTTATAACATTCATACATTTTCTTTCTGCTTTATGTCAAGGATCTACTAATAATTTTGTTTTCTACATTAAATATATATTGTTTATTATTAATAATTATATTCTTATGGCTTAGGAAGTTGCGATCATGGGCGATCCCATCAATTTTTTGCAGAATCAATTATTAAAGGCCACGAATTCCCTGCAAAGTCATGTTTATCACTGAATTTTGCAGAAGAAAAGTGCGTAGACAAAGGTGCAATGATGGGCTATCCTGCGAATAAAAGGTAATATTGAAATTTTATGTAAATGTCCTTAATAGTTATCGTTTAAAATATTAATTTTTATTATATTATACAGGTTTACTGGAATATTTTATACCGTAACTAATTCGGCATATCCTTTTTCCATGAACATTAGCATAGTGAAATAAAAGGTGAGATATCTTCATTATTTTGTAAATATGTTATTAATCACTAAATAAAATAGAAAATATGTATTTAAATAATCCGGATTATCTTCAGAATGTAATTTAAATAATATTACATTATAGGTATAATTTTTACATTTAATATATAAATGTATTTTATAATTTTTCCTCCCTTTGTAAGTGGAATAGTTATATTTCTGAGAGCCTCTGATTTTTAAGGTAATACTTATTAAAAATTTGTTTTCACCATTTTCAGGAATAATTCATGTTAAAAAAAAAAAATTTAAATGCAGAATCGCTAACCGATTTGCTACATGGAAATTTGATTACCTGAATGACAAAACTTCGATTCGTCCTATATCTCAATGAATTTTTATGGAGTTGGAATAATTCTTTGAAGTACAATCATTAATGAGATACTTATGATATGACAATTGATGCAGTTTTCTCAAGCTATTTAGAAAATTAGCAAAATAGAGTAAATGCTATATAATTTAATTAATTTATAAGTAATGCTTGATATACATAATTTTATGACTTTCTGTACTTTATATCATCAACATATTACTATTATTAAGTTCTGACATGACTTATTTAATCGTAATATTTGTCCCTCCGTCAAAAACGTTTTACTTTAACATCACACATAGAATACACCAACTAATTTTTATTTTATTGTATTCTTTTGTGGGTTAACCAATGATATGTGATTTGTAAATAATTGTTATAAAATTTAAATATTGTTTGATTAATGAGTTTATTAAAATACTTATTTAGACCATAAAACATATAATTATATTAGCTTTTAAGATATATGCAAAGCTGTTTTGTTTAAATATATGTACATGTGTGTATTTAAGGAGCTGAATGTCACTCATGTAGTACATGAAGAAGTTAAAGTAATAATATTTCACTCTCAAAATAATTTACTGTTGTGTAAATATTTCATT